GCAAGGTCACTAAGGTACATTTTTAATATCATCATTAACCCCTACCGTACCAAAGGTGTGCACGTGTAAGTTGGGCGGGGGTGTTCACTGACCTTGGACGAGGACTGCCGTCGATAAAAGGACAGGAAAATCGTGCTACTGAACAGTAGAAAGTACTTTTTCATAGTGACTCAACGGTATTTTTGAAGCCCCATAAGGCAGTCCTGCCGATGGAATTTCCGACCAATGTAGTAGAACCTCTCATATTTTCTTGAAGTTTTTCACTATTATCTCAAAGCTTTACCCTTTTATTGATATCGGTTTGCGGGTAATATTTCGTACTTTTGTGACATTTTGCGTGAGTCAGCTCGTCTATTGCAATTGCTGCTTTCAGTAAAGTGTGGAGGTTTTTCTTCACTAGTCTGTTGTTTCGGTAGATGCGTTCGAACTGACAGTGAATTTCCTTTAATTTAGGCCTACTTTGGGAGTCCAGTCACTTGCTGTGTGCGCGCATAAAAACCGGTCATTTTTCAGGGTCCCTGTTAAAAACAAACGTAATAAAAAAAAGTTGGTAACAAATGGCTCTTAGTTCCAGGCGTTCTATTTGACGGAATTCACGAAACGCTAGTCTGACGTACAACGGAAGTCACGCGACGGCAGTCACATGCCCGCTGCGTAAATGGGCTTAACACCCCCACTGGCGAACCGAAAAGACGCCAGCTGTGCACATTTTCTAAGGGGGAATTTTATCAAGACAAAAGTGGCCTGACGAATTTCCTTCGTAAAATGTGCTCTGTCGTAGCGAGACACAGTTACAAATTATGAGTAACCACGAATTGAGGCAAATTTTCGCACCCCATGTATCTGTGTAGACTGAGAAGGCGTTGCGATCACTGGAATTGTAATTTTACTCGTCGGAGCTTTCGGGATCTTTCCAGAGTCCAACGTCAGAAATAAAAGGTCTCAACGAAAGACAAGCAGCAGTTATAGGAGGCAGGGGCCAATCAACCACCAGCGCGGTCTGCGCAGGGCTCTGTATGCAGGGGCCAGATCG